AATGATTATTATTCACAATTGATTAAATTTTTAAAAGAAGCCAAATCAACAGCATGGTACAACATCAAAAAGCACCAAAATGTATACAAACAAACATATGATAACGGTCGACAAGATCTTAGAAAATCACAACCTGGACAATTGGTATTTCTTAAACAAATGATGGTTAAGAACCTGCTTAAATTTTCGCCCAAATATTACGGCCCATTCCAGGTGCTACAAACAGATCGGTCGTCTAAATTATGAAGTGCAACACGTCAATGACGGCCACAAAGAAAAAGTTCACGTATCCAGAATTCGCATTATCATTTGAACCACTCAGTGCGGTCATTGCAAAAGTACAATACGATACGGTTCCTGGTGGCAGCGACGACCCAACCATGTTGACGATATCATTAAAGAACAAGGTGGCAGATTGTTCCAGATACTGTCAATAGGACTATTACACATAAACAGTTTATCTTTTCCATTTTACTATTTTTTAAGGATAAGCGAGGACGCTTCATCTAGTATCGGGTGAGGTGTTAAGAAGTCCTGGTTATTTTCGTTTCATCCTTCTCATATGTATGGTTCGATATGTATGCTTTTCGCATTGTTTAACATTCTTATATGGTGTGATATTCTTCTCATTGTTTCACATTCTTATATCTCACTGTTTATCATTCCTATGTATATGGTCTGATATTCTCCTCATTATTTTACTGTGAAATTCTTTGTATGGTACGATTTTCTCTTCTCTTCTCATCTCTCTCTCTAACCTATAAATACGAACCGTTTTTCTTAGTGGAAGACATTCGGTAGTTATCCTTTTTTGTGTTGAATAAACATATGGTCATTATCATCTCACACGTTTACGTACCGTATTGTTCGACCTGGGAGGTTCTGAAAACGGTCCGTTTAGGAACTAAAAACGGTCCATTTACGGCACGTTAACTTACCGTTAACGACCAGTTAACGGGCCGTTAACGGTACCGTTTTCTTGGACCTGGGAACATACAAAAAACAATTTGACATAGGTTAAAACACATACTACATTTTATATTTTATAATTTGTTAGTAGTTTTACTTCTCAACTATCCGGTATTCTTTGCAGAAGAGGAAAAACACGTTTATCTTATCTAAAGGTCACACTCATTTTTCTGTATATTTTCTTGCCTCGATATGTTTAGCGTCCTTATCGTCTCTTTCATCCCTTGCAATCTATAAACATTAGATGACAAGAGAAAAATCATAGAAAGATAAAAATTCGAAAGATAAGGAATAAAGAATGGTATGTATTACTTTTGTAAATTTTCCTTTGCTATTACATCAGTTCAAGATTATGTACAAAACTACGTTAGTTAAACGTTAATATTTGATTATGTTTTTAATTATGAATTGAATGATATACTTTGAATTTTTTGTACTGCTACTGATGAAAATTTAGCAAATAAATTGAAACGTCTAGCTATAAATAGTATTTGTACGAATACAAAAAACAATTTTATCTCGATTTATTTAAATTAACATATATGTGTATGTTTGTGTAAATGTATATATGTGTACATATGTATGCAGAAATATAAAATCTACGTCGGTGTGCAATAACTTTCTTAATGGATTTCCTTGTGCCATGAACTTGTATCTGCAAGAGAATTTAAAACCCAATGAAATTTAAAATTCTTCTAGTAGAAATTAAAACTTTTTTTCTTATAAAATTTAACAGCAAAATTTTCCTATCAAACTGAGCTTTTTGTGATGAGTAAGACAGTTTTTAAGCAAAATAAGTGTCAATTTGTAATTGGTATCAAAAATGGTAGCGAAGTTGGCTCAAAAATAAATCATACACGTAATGACGATAATGATGGTTCTTGAAAAACCATCTTAATGCACAGTCTTCGATAAGGATTTGTATAGCTGCAGTTTTTAGCATTAATTATTGCTTTGATATATATTTTGCTCAAAAATTGATTTTTGATAATGAACAACTTAATTCAGTGGTAAAGTTAGTGGTTTTTGTACACTTTGAATCCTAGTAAAAATCTCACCCTAGTCGAGAATCTCGGTAGATATCTCGCAGGATATATACATATATATATTTGAGCGAAGTTCTTACACTGCGTAGGAGCAGAATGGGTCATTTTCTCGGAGAAAAATGAAAAATACTGGTAAGGACCAAAAACACGCAAAAATTTTCGTTTACACGCTGTTGTTAACAAAATGCAATCATATTATTCTTCATCATTACTATTACGAACATCATGTAACACAGTCACATTTCAAGATGAACAATATCAACAACAATTTCAACCTCTCATATCATCATCATCATCTACACGACTTTATCGTTATTCTCATGAACCACTGAGTACAAATTTATTAAGGCGAGATATTCCACCAATTTTAATCATCTTATTTTTCTTATTTTTAGTTATAATTACATCATAAATTCTTGTTGTACATACAAGTCGATAGGGTACAAATTTTTATACATTTCAAGAAGAATTAAAACAAATGGATAAAAGTATGGAAATGTTGTTAAACGATAATGTATTACCCACAGGTAAGTTTAATTGATTAGATAACTTGTACAGATGAGAAAAATTTTGTAGCTCGGGATACTTTTTTTCTGAATGTACTAAAGAATGCGTATATTTGAACAAGTCCGTTCAGATTAGAACATAAAAGAACAGAAACGTTAGAAAAAGATTATTCTCTTAATGTAAACGGAAAATATAGTCCACTTATATTTATCATTTCTCTCCACGAGCTTAATAGTTTTAAAAATTGTTAGATGAGTAGAATGCTGACACTTCAGAAAAATATTTTTGCTAACCAATCTGTTGGATCGATTTTTTCGACTTTTCTTCAGTTGAAACAGCGTTCTATTTCTGTTTTTCAAAAAGATGCGTATATCTGTTCCTTTTTTCGCATTGAAAAGAAGAAAAACGTTCACAATAGGAACGGTGCAGTTGCAAGAGCGGTGCAAGAGATTGAATTTACGAAAAATAGATCAAGCATCACGCAGGATCATGAGTCTAATCTCTTGCAACTTGTGTTTTGCATGATTTTGCTTAAATACAAGTAATTTCTTGGAATAGCAGTAGAGAATAAATAAGTAAAAATTGAGTATAAAACTATTTTAAATTCAAACTAAATTCACTTGTTATTTCGTTTATTTTTGAGCTTTCGGTATGTACTCATACCACAATCAGGAAAACATATGACAAGAAGAAAAAATCTTGACTATATATATACAAAATAGTAACGTTCAAGAATAGCAGAGAAAATAATAAAATACAGTTACTATATTGTTAAAAGAACGTTTTCTCATACAAATATGGGATTAAGGACACTTTTATCAAACACATGCAATTTATGTTATAGTCAAGATTTTTTCTTCTTGTCGTATGTTTTCTTGATGATGGTATAAGTACATACCGAAAGCTCGAAAATAAACGAAATAACAAGTGAATTTAGATTGAATTTAAAATGTATTTTGTAGCAGTTTTATACTCAATTTTTACTTATTTAGAATTAATTTAATTGATTTCGCATCCTAGCGTTACTGTATTACTAGTAATATTTATTTGTTTCTGATAAGGTATGCACGATTATACACTCAAATATTCTTTCATTCTCTTCTAAATGAATGATCTTACAAATATTCATAAAATTCAATTGTATTCATCATGGTTTGATCCAGCATAACAGGTTTGTAACGAACGGCCATATATAACTTATTTTCGACTGGCATAAATTGAATACTGTTTATTGGAAGTGACAATATGTTTGTTTGTTCGCGCGTTTTCAATTCTTCGTCAATGGTAACGAAGGTTCTATCACTAAAATCCATAAGCCACTCATTCGGAACTGATATCGATAATAGCGACGAACAGCAGTATCCCAATTTAATATTTCGAAGGTAAAACATTGAGTGATTTCGTAACTCAAATTTAAAAAATGTTTCATCTGCTATCGTTTCCTTCTTACGAATATTCCATGAAATGATTAATGCGATATATTTCTTATTCGCCGCAATGCGATGAATCTTTTCGTTTTCTGCACAAGATACAGGTGGCTTCCAATAATTAAGTAACCGACACTTAGGTGAATCTAAGTAGTTTCGATCATCCATATCGTATTCTTCAATAAGGTAACCTTGACGAACTAGAAAAAGTTTACGTTCATATGCACTCATATATGTGCAGGTGCCGCTATCGTGGATTACAAGTTCTTGATTCTCCCGATATTTCATTAGTTTTGTCTTTGTCAAAACAATAAAATCCTTTAAATATGTTGACCACAATATATCGATAATTGAATCGTAAATCCATTCAATAGGTTGCTGAGAAAATATCATATTGTTACATGTGATCCTCCATAACGTTCTGTCATCGAAAAATAACAGAATACTGTTACCTGCACGCATGTGGCCACCAATACGTGTGTGCAGTCGATTCTTCGGTTGACATTTCAGTATCACAGTTTCAATACGCGATAGAACCAATGGTGATTGCGATTGGTCGACGATAGTTGAGGAACTATTTATAGGCTTATTATCTGTTTTTGTTTGATCATCTTCATCCTTTATTTGAATTAATTTCGTCCAGTCAGTTTTATTATCATTTATTTCTATTTTGAATCTTGTTTGAAAATGGTCAATATCCCACGTTAATTTGTTCAAATTTTTTGTTAACAGATCGATATCCGACTCAAAATAGTTTTCAGCTTCACGATATGTATTTAATTCTTGTGTGAGTTTATCATAGGATGTTCTTATAAATTCGCAACGTTTATTTGCTATTTTAATTAAATTTTCACGTATCTGGTTTGCTACTGTTCGTACCAAATCGATTGTCTCCGATTCCCATTTATCAATACGATCATTCTGTTCAGTTAACTGAAATTTTTCATTTGAGGATAAAGCTGGAGTGATAATAGTTGCTAATTGATTACGTTGACAGACAAGAAGTTCTAAGGAATTCGATAATTCTTGTCGATGTGTGCCCATATGTGGATAGCAAAATTGTTGGCTACAACCATCGCATGTCAAGATACCCAGTTTTACTTTGCCTTCACGTAGATTTTCACATGTTAGACAATTCTTGGATGATGAACGTTGATTAGTACTCGCGGCCATGCTAGCCACATTAAGCTTTATCTACAGCAAAAAAGTTAATAAAAATACAAGATAAAACGTTTGTTGACTTTTATATCTCGCCTGACGTCTCAGTGCATAAAAACAAGAAACTTCATGATGTAAAAAAGCGAATGTCTTTCTATTGCAACCGAATAATTCCGTAAATGTCTTGGCGAGACATTAAACAGACGCTGTTTAACTCAAATAAGCTACTTAAAACAAATAAGAAAAAGCAAACAACGAACAATAGCGTACTTTTACTTTCAGTCTTGTTCAAAATGAAGATACATTTGAAAACACTTATTTAGTTGAAGTTTTTAATTATTTGCACTTCAGAAATTTTTTCTTATAAATTTATCTGACGAAAAAAAAACAAGTGCTACATTTTGAGTGTACGTTTGTAAATGAAAGCATTAACCATCTAAAGAAAAAAGTACTGAAATAATTTGTTTTACAATCGTTTTTTTGTTACAGGAAAACTCTAGCCTTGGAATCCTGAACTAGCTCTTACTATGTGCGCAGCTTTCGAGACTGTTTTTTTTTGAACACACTTGAGAATATATACGTCAGACGTCACCAAAATAATTCGATGAGTTAATCTTTCGTGGCGGTCACCCATCCACTGACTAATCTTCGCCCTAATGCTCAGAAATTTGACGTCCACTTAACCCTTGATCATGCAATCACAGTACTTTTTGAATATTTTCAGTTTTCATGATTTTTGAACAAATACAAAACTATGTTTTATCTAAAACAAAAATAGTTTTTTTAGAGGGCAAAATTTTCTGTCGATTGAAAATATAATGAGGTCGAAAATGTCGTGGGTGACCAACGGACATAGTGGAACATTTAAAATGGTTCGATGAGCAACAATTAGAGAGAGGCCGCCCTTCAAGAATAAACACAAATTTTCAGGTCGTTTGCGTGCGGTAGATGGGATGTAAAGCTGGCTGTGAGTATTCACAAAAAAGGTGTACGTGTTCGTCAAATGTTGAAAACAACAAAAATCGAGTATGATTCTATGCGTTTCACGGTTGTGTAAGTCGATTATCGCCAGCGAAAAAGAGAATATAAAGAGCATGCATGCTCTATAGCACATTCAAATATGACACACACATACGATATAAGAATAGATTGAAATAGATTGAAATGAAGTTTCGAACCTTATTCTTATAAAATTCTATCTAGAGATACGCGAAAAAGACGCCAATGAGAAAAATAAAATTTAGGCAAAAACCACGTTGATTATGTCGACGCCAAAAAAGAAGTGAAGATGTAATTATAAGGAACCCGCTGTCCGATTCACCGAGAAATTTTGAACCTGCCGCCCAATTTTTATCCAATTTGGTTCAGCACGGTGCAAGCACCAAATTTTCTAATCACTGCATTTAGCTAGATATTGTATTTTCTAATATAATTTCAACTCAAAAAAGGGTTTTAGTGTTTATATCTCATTAATTTGAAAGATGCTGGATACGATAGAAAAATACATACTTGTGTGATTACTTACTTTGGATTGAGTGACTTTCGTTAAAGCATTTTTTTAAATAAAAGTATCGAAAATTTTCGTTAAAAATTTTTTAATGAAAGTTCCGGTACTTTCATTAAAATGTCTCCTGCAAAATGAGTGTGACCTGGCGTTTTTGTTGGTACAAGTATTTCACCAACAATTTTAATGAAGTTCCTTTTAATGAAAACTTTTTACCTAAGACATAACTCACATATAGAGAAAACGTTGTTTAAAATGCTCAATTTTATGACTTGTAAGAAAATACCTGTAACTTTTAATGCAAAATCACATAGAGTTGTGCTAGGACTTATTTTGATCAAAAGAGTTTGCTCTACAATCTAGGCATTCAGGAAAAAACTATTATCTGAAGACCTGATATTGCGCGGCTCCTAGAAAACTTGCTCGAATGCCGCGAAAAATCACTTGTGTAACCGAAAGCGATACAAATTCTGAAAGTAGACATTTCAAGCTATCTTTCCATGTGCTTATCTCAGAATGGATTTTTTTTTCGAGAATCATCATTTCTGAGGAGGCTTGGTCTTTAATAGCCTCAAACAAAATTAACTAGAATATACTTAACTGCGGTTGTTACGTCCATCTGAAGTGCACAAGTTATACTCCACGCACCGAACAAATTGCTTTTGCTCATATTAAAGTCTTTTCTTTACAGCTAGCCGCTAAAACATTTTGATCATCCGGGCAGGGAACTGTAAAATTAATTCAAGTGTCAAAGTATAATATTCGTACTGAGAGTAACACAGCCAAATTAGAACCATTGGCTTAAAAATGGTGTTTTTGTGGCGAAAATGTGTTTTTATGTTGACTATCAAAATTTGACTATCTCACCTGTCCTTAAAAGAGTATTTCAAATTCCAATGATGCTGTGCATCTTTTCAACCAAATAAAACGAAAACGTTGTTATATCTTTTACAACTACCATAAATAAGGTAATAAAATCGACCGAATTGAGACAGATGAAAAGTAAAGCGGTATGTTTGAGGTCCTAACCTACGAGTCATAAGTAATTGAACGTGATTAGATTATAAGATCAAAAAGATCAAAAAAGCATATTTGTGTTAATAGGTTTTCCAGAAACCCTTTTGAAAAACCTTAGGGTTTTTTGTAAAATTTGTTTAGAGATCTTCTATAAACAGGATATAGAATAGCTTAAATACTCTACATTCTGAAGTTTTTGAGCTTGTTCTGATGTATTTTGAGCGAATAATGAATTTTCTAATATTAGGTGAAAAGAGCCTAAAAACCCTAATTTTAGTAAAACTAGCTTTTCGCTAGATTTTTAAATTTTTTCTAAAAACCAGTATTGCCACGAGACTGAGCATGGTCGATTACCCATAATCCATTCGTCTTTAAGGTTACCAATAGTCACCGGGTGTCAGTCCTGGGACTCGTAGGAAATCTGATACAACGCCCGAACCCCGGAAAATCAAGGTCTCGCCTGGCTTCCGTTTTCAACAGAACATCCCGGGCTATCAGCTCATGAAAAAAATCAATACAATCCTATTGGAAAATTCGTACACACGACCTGGTTTTTCAAAGATCTCCTGGACAACCTGTTTCAGAAAACTCTTCTGAAAATAATTTTGCTACCAAATAAAACTTTGAACATTTCTCTTTCATTTAAAAAAAAAAAATTGTTCGATTTAGTTGAAAAAGACCGAGATATTAAATTTTCCTTTTGGTAGATGAATTTCCGGACACCCTGTATATGTTTCAAAATAGAATGCAGTCCGATATTTTTTTAATAACTTTTGAACTGACAGAGCTAGCGATTAGCGGATTTCAGTTTTATGAACTAGACACCGCGCACATATATCTATAGAAAAATAGATTCGCTCAATAACGTTTACCATGGTAAGCCTGTCAAAGCAAAATGTCCGACATTGCCATTCTTAGAACTTACATAGTAACCTATACTCAAAAACTGTCTGACATATAGAAGAAACTTAGTTCTGTCCAATGGCACAAGTCTAAACCTTCCATCTCTGATGGTATGGGAGCTACATGCATTCTCCGAGGACCTTTCTATCCCCAAGCTGACAAGTCTGGAAATCTAACTAATACTTGAAACATAGGTAATCAACTATGCTGATCATCGTGGCAATGTTTATTTTTGTCTCCAGATTGAAGGGAGTTTATCTGAGTGGTTTTTCTCGAAAACCAAGTTGTCCCGGAGATCTTTGAAAAACCAGGTCGTGTGTACGAATTTTCCAATA